TGACACACAAATATTTTACTCATTTCATCGTATATCAAGTTGCTAGATCGATTTGTCCCACTAATAGCACACGCAGAAAGTATCTGTGTTCCACAGTCGAGGGTGAAGTGAGTCGGCACGGCGAACGTTACTTGTTATAAAAGAATCAAAAAGAGTTATTTCATTTATCTGACTAGCATTCAGATTAATAGATTGAAACTGTTTTAATTCTTGTTGATATTGTTGTTCATAATTTTGATATTGAATTTCATACATATCTATATAGATATTTAACCAAAGACGTTTAGCTTCTTGTATAGTTTTATATTGTTTTTGTTTCAACTCCATTGCTAGTTGATTTTTAACAATAGGTGAATAAAAATCAGATCGAATATAATGCTCTAAATCATTATAAATTTTTGGTAAATATTCCATGGAAACTTGTGTTTCTAATTTTAATAAATCTTCGACAACATTCATTTGTACTTGTCGTATGTTTTCAAGTCGTTCAATTACTTCCTTCTAACCGAAGATAAATGGAAGAAAGACAATGCATTTTGACAAAAAACAAAAAGGAAAGATTACTTGAATATTAGTAAGATTAAATTTCGATAAAGTATTGAACAATTTGTTTTCTTCAATTATATCGTTGTATCTCATTAATTGACAGTTCATTTTCTTCGATAAATAAACTTGTTGTAGATGTGCAAATTCTTGTAAATCATGATCAAGTTTATCTAATGGGAAGAGTTTTGATGGACATGATGAAGATTGTATTCTTAATTCAATTGTACATTGATCATGTTGTCGATTGAGATCAGCCAGACGTTTAATAACAAACTGTTGACATTGTTGATGATCTTTCGATTTAGTTAGTTTATATACTTGGTTCTTAATAGAATGAAAACAAAAAAGGAGATTCATTTGATTTCTGTGTCGTAAAATCGATCTAAAATAGAACACTTACTGCCCATAGTTGATGTTCTGATCCTAGATTTAAATAAGATTGCCAGAGATTTTGATGTAAACTAAGACGATATTGTTGATCAAGTAATTGAAGATGTCGGTAAATGAATCGCTTTTGAGTTAATTTATTGATTTTTTTCTTCAAGTGTAAACGTAAGTTTTGAAATAATAGATTTGGCGCTTTCCTTAAATATTTTGGTAATTTACTATATGTTTCTGTTGGAATAACATCTGTTGATGCAGCTGTACTTTTGATTTTCTTTGATAATCGTCGAGAAATAGATTGGTGACTTACAGAAGTCGATAATCGTTTACGTTTATTCGATTTTCTTTTAATTATCTGATTTTCATTTACTGTTGTAACATCCATTGGTTCTTCCTCAATATTATTATTTATATTTAATATTGAAGAATTTGTTAAAGTGATATTATTTGTACGATTATATTCATCCATTAATTTTTGTTTTTGTTCTTCGGTTAATCCTTGTTTAATACACTTCTTGTTAAATCGTCGTAATCTTCGCTTCGCTGAACATCGTTTTTTTCGTCTCTTGTTGCTGCTGTTGTTATAATTATTGCTTTGAATAGTATGCTGCTGCTGTGTAGTAGTTATTGGTGGTGTTGATATTCGTATAGTACTAGCAATAGGTTGACTACATGCCACCTGAGTATTGGACTGTTGAGAATGCATGAAAATTACAACTATATATAGCTATCTGAAAATGAGAATCATTTTTAAAGATTCAAGAAAAGAAAAGAAAAAGAAAAAGTGTTATTGATTATTTAATTGTTGAAGACGAAACAGTTCAGTTTTAAATTTGTATAAACATTCGATACGTGCACTCATATTTGTTAAACGTTCTTTGATAATATTCCACATTGATAAAGTTAATTGTTGAGTATTTTGAATGTCTTTGATTTCATTATCAAAGTGTTTTTGAGTTTGTTGTTTTTGACCTTCAGCACATTCCATATAAGTGTTCATCATCTTCGTTCTTGCTTGTTCGGCAACATCTTTCAATTGTTTGTAAAATTCCGTTTGAAGTTCCTTATTAGTCAAACTATTGATCAAAGATGATTGTGCAATAGATTCACATTCAAATGGATGTGAAGTAAAATGTAATGATATTTTTGTTTTCAAGAAGTTGACTTCATATTTAGTCATTTCCTGATGAGATTTAAGTTTACAAAGACGTTTCATTATTTGTATCTAATATTAAGATCAAAGAGAATTACTAAAGAATACCGTATAAAAAATGAACTGACCTGATTTTCATTTGGTTTCTCAGCAAGATAAACACGATGAAGTATTTCATCTGTATAATTATATTGAACCATCGTAATTTTTTCATCTATTTCCATACGTAACATTTGTAGATTTTGTTCTAGATATTTTTCAATATTATGTTCTAAACTACGTGAATAATCACGTTGACGACTAGTTTTTCTATTTAATTCTTGTCGATAATGATCACTTTTCTTATTTAAATCATTTAAACAATAATTAACAAACATTAAACAAGCACGATCTTCATCGACATGTATTGTTTGCGACCGCTTTAGCAACGATTGCACTTCTTTCGGCCAAACTTTCCCATCAATTTGATTTGTTCTTATTGATGATGATGCAATTGAAAGATGACCCATACCAGATTTTTGATACATTATCCAAAGCGATTGAATCATTTCAATCGACATTATCTTATGCATTAAAATAGCAATATCTCTTAATTCTTCCAGATTAATTGTTGATGGTAAAATACATTTGATTTGATTTTCAAATGAAGGATTTGTACTGCATAAATATTCAGGAATAAAATCAAAATCCATTGTTATAATTGATTTCTCTTCTTCAGTCATACACATATTTGAAACTAATGATGGTGTCTGTGATTGATTTTGTTTAAATGGAGATAATTGATTCATTTGTTGCAATAACACATGTTCATTGTGTACCTAAGTGGAAGAGAATAATTTCAATAGGTCGACACAGGATAATAACTTACTGGTTGCTTTTCAGACATGATGTAGTATTTCAACGAAAAACCACAATCGTAGACTCGTAATATGATGATTAATAGAAATATCTGAAGAAGAAAGAGAGAGAAACAATTCAAATAAGTTGATGTATGTAGATATTGATCAGAGTACAATAATATAATCTAAAATTATCTAAAGAGTTCTATTAATTTAACAACACTATCACTATGAATAAATGAATAAAGTAAAAATGAACAAGAAGATCAAAAGAAAAACTACTATCGAGTACAGATGAATTTAGTTTACAGATAACAAACAAAAAGAAAAAAAAAGTATCATTTTGTATATGATGGATAACGAGATTGAGTAATAATCTCAATACTAATATGGCTAAATTCGACGTGATCATCAAGATAAGTTTTCCAAACTTTTTGAAAATTTTCTTGTAATTCATGTAATGTTTCCCCTTCAAAAGTTGAGGAAATATACCATTTTTCTTTGTTCTGTTCATCTTTTCGTTGTTTAATTTTCATTTCTAATTGTTGTTTATCATATTCGAAAAGACTTTCACGAAGCTTTTCATAGTTCAATTGATCAAGATGAAGTTTAGATTGTGAAGCATTAAATTCTTTAAAGAATTCTTCAACATGATTATGAATATAATCTCCACTATAGCCATTGCTATGAAATTTTTCTTCAATATATTTTTGTTCATAATAAAAGTCATGTACATTTGAACAACAAAGTACAGCACGAATTAGACAAGCTCGCATTAATGTTGAATACATGTAACGTGAATGGCCTAATATGTAAGGTAAACCGCTTGATTTAGTATCTTCATTGTGATTAATTTTAGTTTGTAGACAACCATTAATATAACCTATTTGAGCATCCATATAAGTAATTTTTTGTCCAATTGATGTCTTTATTTTCATAAATGATGAAGAAGAATATAATAATGAACGAAGTTGCTTCTTAGAACCATTCCAAGTAAGAAATATTTTATCATAACATCGACCAAATAGTTCATTTTCATTTAAAACAATTTTCTTTAGATCTTCTTGCCAATAGAACATGTAAATATTCATTAAAAGACTAGTTAATGGAGATTGACTAGCACTACCTTTGACTTGTCGATAGATTTTATTCTTAAAGATAAATATTTGATTTTGAAGAATAAAATCGACAAGTTTTAGAATTGTGTGAATTGTTAGGAATTGATGAGCACCATTTTCATTAGATTGATAATATTCATTAAGAAAACGTTCAAATGTTTGCATCATTTTATCATGAGATATAGTTGTATCTAGATCTTGAATAGAAATCGTAGCAAATAGTGTTGTTGATAATAATGAACCATGATTTGCATATGATTCTAACGCATGTATAACATCTGATTCTTTAAAGAATGTTGTTGATAAAGCGACTTGATCATAGATAGGTTGAAGGAGACGATGAATATAACGAGCAATTCCTATTGTTGGTCCTGAACTACAAACCATGATCGGATGAAATGACACAGGTCTCTATATGTAAAATATATAAGTGAGCAATGAAGTTGTTAAATGGAAAGACTTACTTGACGTATATCTGGTAAATAAAACAGATAGTCCATTCGAACTTTTGATTGTTCGATAATATTCATTTGATGAAATTGTGATTCATTAATACAATGTGATTTGAGTAAATCATTCAGTAATGTACTCATTTGTTTGATAATAGTATTTAGATAACCTTGGACACACGTTGTTGGATTATTACTTTGACTAATTTTATCAATACAAATATACGCCTTTGTTCGTTCCATATGTCCATTAATATTTTCTTTGATTTCCTTATTTGTACATTGATAAAGAGCATTGCTATTGTAAACATCAAGTAATTGACAACCATTAAATTTTAATACTTGTTGATAGATTTCATTATCCAAAGTATGTTTAGAATGAATTTCATTATCTGATGTTTTACAAACAAAAGTAATATCACCTTGTTCAAGCAAGGTTCCTCCTGGTTCACTATCATTATCTTCATTAGTACTTGGTATATTTTCAATTAATTGTCGAAGGTGATGAATAAACTCATAGCATTGATCAGTCATGTTTCTTTGTTTCTTTTATTAGCCGGCACTGTTGTTGTAATAATAAAAAGTTCACAATCTAAAGTAATCGATGAACAAGTAGACAATCTGAAATATGAAGAAAAACATAGGATTTTGAATGAAAACCATATCTATTAATTCGAATGAAAATAGTGGTTGAATGCTGAGGTGATACGACAGAAATAAAAGAAATATATATAGAATATGATTTTTCAGTAGTAATGATTAACGCCTAAAAATTAAGACCATGGTTAGAGTTGAAAGTGAGTAGTTTCATCATGACAAATTAAAGAAAAACGAGGGTGAGGGTGAGTATTATATATAAGAACTCCCACAATCTAGATTTCGACCTTTTTGAAGGGTCATTCATCAGGTAGGAATAAATTCTGCATAAAAATTCTAAAACAAATTTGGAAAGATTTAACATTCACCAAATAACGCTTTGATTTATAACTGCTTCCGTTTCCATTTCCATAAGATTGCCATCAATATCGTGACATAACGAAATCACTAGTTTACTCTAGAAGATGAAATAAAAATAGTTGTAGTTTTTATTGAAAAGACAGCAAGGAGAATTGAATACATACATTAAACGTTGATGAATTATTTGCCATGATCTTGCATATAGTATGTTATGATTAATCTACAACAGAAGACAAATAGTTAGAGACGATTGTTTTGTCGCAGAAACTAATTCAACAACAAAAAAAGTTAATTTGAAAATTACATAATATTTGTACAGTATCATTGTCGATAAACAAATGAAAACAAAAACAAGATAGTTGTGTACGAATCCTGATCCATTCAATATATACAAGTAGGTTAACATCTGCATCTTTATAAATCGTCTTACTGTAAAATACGATTTGATTCTAGTTTCATTATTTATCGTTAATTAAAGATTTATTTTAAACCTCATTTTATTTGTTGTTTGTTATTTTGTTCAAGATTGTCGTTTGTGTTTAATTTTATTTCCTTAACTGACATACACAATTCATTTTTGATCTATATTTAATGTCAACTGAGCTACGTATTTTATGTCATCATTCTATTTTACAGCACCTCTTTGGTTTTATAATTCTTTTACTTTTTGATTTTTTCAGATTGTATTCTTTCTCAATACATGTAGTGACCACCTGTCTTTTGTATTTAATTTATATGTGATAATCTATATTAATTTACTTTGAATTTCAGAATATTCGAAAAGAGATAAAACTTAACTCTTATGAGTTATTTCACTCGTTGTGGGATCAAGAAATCATGTGATACCTATTGTCAGTGGCGGGCCGGTGAAAAAATTTCAAGGGGGCAATAAATTAGACTGAAATTCTTGAAAAAATTTTTTTATTTCCATTACGACAGATATTCGTTTTTTTCTGCGCCTAAAAAGTTCTCACTAATATTTGTGGTTCTTCTACTTACAAAAAAATTTCCTTGTGTTGACAAAAACTCTATCTAATTACTATGTCTTTCGAAGATTTTTTGATAGTAATGCTATATATATTTGAATAAGATGATTATTACGTATAAATGATTTTCATTAAAATCGAGTTTTATTCTTTTCATATTTAATGCAATTCCTAAATACGCATGAAAATAAACATATTAACTATAAGAGAAAAAACAAAACGACTGTTTGTGCCAACAGACACGTCCATCTAAATATCATATCTTATGAGTTATCATTTAGAGATGTCAGTTATAAGTTAGTGTCCTTGCGTAATGTTCTTTTCTTACTAATATTCTCATTATGAATATTACCTTGTACTGTCACTGCTTGGTCTCTTCTCTTTTCTCTTCTGTATAAAAGATTATGTTCTGTATTGTATACGATACATTTTGGAGTATGATACAATGTAGTTAATATCTTCTACATTGAAGAATAGCGATAGTGCTATTCCTCCAATCTGTCTTTGTGATCACAAATAATAAAATAAAGAAGAAATATGCTGCAGCTGAAATGAAATAACATTCATTTTCATTTCTATATTCCGTTACAATGCAAATATATTTTTATATTATTAAAAATTCACTCATTCAATACCAATTCCAACAACAGCACTTGATCTTGTTCAATGGTTTAAAAAAAGGACATGATACATTATGGAAAGATTTATTTAAAAATATCAATAGGGTCAATAGACTTCATGATATAAATTAAACTTACAATATTAATATGATTTCGACAAATGAATCATTGAAAAATATAATTTTTGATTAAGTATTTTATATGTAGAATTACGTAGAACATCGACACGGATTTAAAAGAATATATAATGTATGATTCAGTAAATTTATATTAATTATACTTTCACAAATACTATTATTAAAATCATCTGAACGATCATGATCTAGTTCATTTGGATAAATCATTTGTATTTGGAAATTTCCATATTTATTTCCTTGAAAATAATAAATTTTCTCAGATAAAGAAGAACCAACAATAATATCTAAATAATTATCATTATTTAAATCATGTAAAATTAATGATTCAGATTTGAATAAAATATCAGTATTCATTAGAATTTGTTCCTTTCTATGAAAAGTTCCATTTTTATATTGATAAAATATGAAAGTTGTATCTATCCAACTATGTGAGAAAACAATATCAGATTGATCATCATTATTAAAATCAGCAATTATCATTCGACATTGATCGACAGTAAATGCAGTAAATAACCATTTTGATAATTGAAAGCTTGCATCATTATTTCTAAATAATATGTGAATATGAAGAGATCGTTCATTATATATAGCTATATCCATATAACTATCATTGTTAAAATCAGTTATAACTAATTGTCTCGGATCACTTCGAGATTCGGTAAACATGACTGTTGTTAATGAAAATGTTCCATTGTCATGTACGATATAAATATAAACATATTTATCCAATCGACAGATGATAATAATATCCAATTTATTATCATTATTAAGATCAATTATACTAAAATCAGCAATTGTTTTACTCAAAACTATTAAATTTGTCGTATTTTTCTGAAACATCCCATCACTATTTCCATATAAAATATTAATATATGATATTGATCTCGTATTATGTAATACAATTAGATCAGTTCGATTGTCATTATTGAAATCAGCAACATTGATTTGACGGATGGGTAAATCTACTGGAATTAATAAAACATTCTCAAATAAATTATTAATATTCGTAAATAATATATTTATCGTTCGACGGTCATCACAACAAAATAATAAATCAACTTGCTTATCATTATTTAAATCAGTAATTAGGTATGGACCAAAATCTGACGTTTGACACAATTTATGAATTGATTGTCGTTTAACTTTTAACTGACATATGGATTCTAATAATAAAAATCATATATTTAATCATATTTATTTTATCATCTAACCTTGTGTAGTCAATAATGTTGTGTTTACCGTTGTATACAGATTATTGTTAGTTGATATTGTTGTCGTCGTTAAATCTATCAAATAAACAAATGTTAAAAAACGTTATTTTAGGCAAACGATTCTTGCCTCGTCGGGCATAATATATTGAAAAAATGATAACACTTATTAAGAAACATATTAACAATGTAATAATAAATATTACTTTTATAGGTGATCCATTATTTGATATAATATTATTTCTAAATAAAACAAATAGATCAATACATATAATTTTGAATAAATAAAAAAGGCTTACTGAAATGTTATGTTCAGTGATCTATTCTGATAATTTGATGTTTCAACAGAACTACCAGTGGGATTGATAGAAATCGTTCGTCTTCTTCGGTAATAATAATAAATTTTAAATCCAATTAGAATCAGCTTTGGACAAATCCATTTCAAAACAATTGTTAAACCACCTTGAAGGCCAAAGATAAGTGTAAATGTATAGAAAAGATTAAATTGTTCAATACTTGTATAAGAACATAATAAAGGTGAACATTGATTATAATATAATGAGTAGTTCATTTCTGTTGACCATCGTTCGATAAATAAATTTTGTCTCAATATATCAATTGTTGTATTTTGTAAAAAACGACTAGAATTTATTGAAAGAGGCAATGAAGAATTAGAATAATTTGTATATTGTTGAATAATGTTAAGACATGATTGATTATAAAAACATTCAAGTGTTGATTGAAGAAGTGATTCACTTGGTGTACATCCGATTTTCATACCTTGAATGGAAATATTTTCCAATGAATTCGTTTCAATAAAAATTGCTTGAGTTGTACAATTTGGTGATAAACCACATGAACAGCCATTATCATAAATGAGAGGTTGTGTAGGTGCAAATTTCTCTGTAAAATCATTATCTCTTATAATATATTCAAAATTTGTTCCATAGGTTGAAATAAAAGCATTTCCGTGTGTAATACTTTGAGTAAAGAAGAGAAGATGAGAAAATAAAATAGGAGCATTTGCTTTACTTTGTTCAAGTAAAATATTGAGACGACCATGAAAATTAATAGAAGATAAAAGATCAACATTGACTAATAATGATGTAAGAAATTCATCAATAGAATTTTTTACTGTTTGTATAGATAATCGACATAATCCTTGAAGATATTGTAAATGAGCTGAAAGAAATCGACGATAATCATTTTGTTTATAAACAGATAGATTTGCTAAAAGACCATTGACTAGATCTGTTCGCCATTGATCAGAAACAAATTGACTTGAACAAATCTATAAATATCAATAATATATATAGTATATCAATGATAAAATTATTTTCTATCATTTTACTGAATGAAACTCTGGTTGAATATTGACAAATTGTTTATATGTTGATGCTATTCTTGAACATGAACATTTTAATTTGTTACCATAGATTTCACTTAAATTATTATAATAAATTAATGATGGTCGATGAAAATCTTCTGTTGATGAATGTGGTTGAATAATTGTATAAAAAACAAGAACTATTAAACAACTGAGATATAGAAGCATACAGAGACGAGTTGCCCATTGTCCATAATACTTCGCTGTCGTTCGATCAATATTTCTTGTAAAATCACGTATTGAAAATATATTTAAATCAACCACTATCATACATAATTTTTTCATAAGATTTCGCATTATCATTCTTAATCGTTCAGTACAACTATGTTGAACTAAAAATTAGAATAGATAAAATTCATTCAATATGTAATGATTTACTTTGTTCTTCTTGATTTGATGTTTTATTAAACATTGCTACAAATTTTAAAATAGAATAAATAAGATTAGGTGTAGTAATACGTAATGAAACAATTATTCCACCAATTATTGATATTAATATAATAATAACTCCAAGAATGTTCTCTTTACGAATTTTTTCTGAATAAGTACAATATATTGGTGAACAAGAATTATAGAATTGTTCGTATGATAAAATAGGATTCCATTTTTCCAGCATTAATTCTTTAACAATCGTTAAAATCGATGTGTTAGGTGGATAGCGACTTGTTGTTGAATTATAAACAAGTGGTTGTATTTGAAATAGTGATGATGGACGAGATAATGTATCTGTATATGCTTTTGCTAAAAAACTCATTAATAATGGAAAACAATCCGATTCTATATATAAACATTCAAGTGTTGAAAGGAAAACAGAAGTATATGAAAGACAACTTTCAATCCAACCAGATAGATTATAATTATTAAAATAAAGTTTATTCAATATCTGATAAGGTTCAGTCGTAACTGCTAATCTTTGACAGTTTGGATTTGTAGCACAAACACATGTAACTAATCCTGAATTAATCTCTGTGATACTATATAAAATAAGTTTTATCTAAAATTAAAAAAAGTCATATTTAATATTTATATGAATACTTTATAGATCTACCTACATGTGCTATTGAATTATAAATCACTAGTCTTGCCGAACGATCGGAATGTATTCCATGTAATTGTAATCCTCCTTCGTAAAATTGATTAACTTGTTGAATTAATTGTATAATATTTCTCATTAAATCAAAATTATAAATTGTTGATTGGTTAATTTGATAAATATATGTTTGTATTTGTTGATTGAAATCATTTTCATTCATTACAGAAGAAACAATAAAAAATTGAGTAAGAAATCTATCAATTGCTGCATGAATTGTTTTGTTAGCTAACTGACAAAGATCAGATAAGATTTGAAATTGTCGATAAGCTCTCTGACGCCAATCATAATCATCAGAGTTACCGATACTGGATATCATTGTAAAAATCCAATCATCTGTAGTAAAACCACTTGAACATATTTGATGAAAAACGGGAGAAAATGATATCAATTTTCGATAAGGTATAGTTTCATTTGTACATGGACATCGAAGACTTGTGAAGTATTTGGCTTCTAATGAATTATAGGTTATTAACGATGGTTTTAGTACAGTTATTGTCATTACTTCACTATGTAATGATGTAAACAGACAAAGAAAACATATAGATCCTAAAGTACATATATTTTCAAAGAAGAACAAATTACATATTTAGTGAAAATAATTTTACCGATTAATAAAATCAGATAAATACGAGTAATAAATCTTTGTTTTTTTATGCTATTTTCTGTTCGATCATTTATATTCTTAAATAAATTCAATTGTTTGATTGATCGAATTAATTTCAATGTACGTATATTGTTATTCGAATTTCTTCTGTAATCTTTATATTGATATAAAATATCGATCAGTGAAGATGCAATTAAACGAAGTATAATAATAAGACCACCATAAAGACTAATAAGAAACGTGATTATATAAGACACACTTTTGTGTTTTTTTGTTGAATATAAGCATATTGATGGAGAACATTCATTAAAATATGTTGAATAACTTATATTTGTAGACCAATTTTCGATGAAAAGATTTTGAAAATAATTAATTACAGAATTATTTTTATATTCAGATGATAAGATTGAATTATTCCAATTGATATTCATCTAAATAAATGAACACATATTTTTGAATATTATGTAGAAATGATAAAGACCTGATTAAGTTTTGGAAAATAATCGATGAGTAATTGAACACATTCAAATTCATATAAACAATCCATTGTACTTTCAAAAAGTGCATCAAGAGAAGTACATGTAACAAAGAAACCTTTGACAATCGTTATATTGGATGTGAAGTCCGGTTTCCAGAATGATGTAAGCTGTGATAGATCAATTGACAATGAAGGCAGAATAGCAGGATTTATCACTTTAGCATTGCCACATTGTCTGAATTGTTCAGCGTTTATATCCAAATATGGTGTTCCTAATCCAAATATTTCATTAGGAGTATTATTTACAAAACTTGTTCGCAACATCCAATTTGTGCCAAGAGCCGAAACTAAAAAGGTTCGATCAATTGTTGTATGCCAATAATTTAAGAACGAAATCATTTGACCAAGTGCATTATTCTTTCGAAATTCAATTGTATTATTAATTTCTAATTGAATTTGTTTTGAAGAAAGTAGATTAATATTAACAAGTTCGGTGTTATCAACATCAGTTTCAATTTGAGAGGCCATCTTTTGAGATATTAAACATAATCGAGATAAAAGTTCGAACTAAATAAAAAGAATATAGTTGAAAAGAATATTCACATGCACATACTTGTGAATAGGCAACTCGTCGAAAATCCCATATACCATATTGGCTTGCATTTGAGAAATATAATCCTTCAATCCATTCTTTTCTAATAAAGTCACTCGAACAAACCGGATGCATTGTAACATTATTTGAAAGAAAATGTTGGTATAGAATTGTATTTGTTGAACATGGACATGATACAGTTTGACCATATTCAGAAAATAATTCATCAACAATATTAGATGTTACATTAGAAATAATTATTGTTTCAGACTCAACTTTGATCCAACTTCCGTAGAATAATATATAAAGGAATACTAAAATAAAAAAAGCTTAAATTTGAAAGATATCGTCTGTAATATACCTGTAAAAAGTGTAATATATAAGCGAGTTTTGTATTTCTGTTTTCTAAGAAAAAGAACTGGATCTGCATTTGTATCATCATAATCATCTTCTTCTAACGTGAAAAGATTATAATTCCATATGAAATTATAAATCCACGTTAAAAATGTTTTCATATTCATCATACAATTAAAATAAAAAAAGTGATAATAATCAAACATGAAATGATTATCTAGAAAGGTTCAGTCGCTTAAAATTAAACGTATTTTTTCCGTTTTTCAACATTAATTAATGCGTTACAGTCTGACGTATTTCGAACATCTGGCAATGTATATTTTCCTGATTTTTCTTATCACTAAAACTTTAGTGCTTCATTTGCATGCACTTCTTCATACCCGACGGAAAAAAAGAAAAGAAAAGAGTAGATAGTTAAGTATTTTGAAAAAACTAACTATTTGTCTATTTCTCGAATCGAAGAAAATACTCAACTCAAACTCGAAAAAAATAATTAATTAAAAGATTTTTTGTTGT